ACCTCAGGAAATGAACTTTTCTTCATAGCAAATAGAATCTAATTCTATTAATATAATTGATTGCTTAATTGCTCATTTAGTTTTTTTATATTTAATTAATCTTTTAAATTAATCTCTTCACTATCAGTGATCATTCTTTTTTTCATTAAAGGTATTTCTGATTTTTGAAGAATTTAACTTATTCTTTCCTATGAATAATTTGCTTTGCTTATAGTCTTGAGCTTCTATGTTATTTATGGAAGTTTATTATAAGATGCTTTAATATTTGATTAATTCAACACATTATCATTTTAAAATTATGTAATGCGACGACTTGTCAAACTTTATTAACAAAAATCGTTAAAAATTGTTCTTTTAACTAACTTAGAAAATTATTGTTAATTAGGACTTTTCTTCTCTAACTCATCATTTTTATTCAAAAATTTTTAATTCTAAATTTTGTATAAGATACTCTCTAATTTGTTAGATTGAATTCTTAGAGATTTTGGATTTTAGCTCTATTTCGTATCAAACATTTTAGACATTATTTATTAAATTATGTCCAAAATTAATAAAAACAAAAAGGTTCTTAAACTTTATTTGTTTTCTAATAAAACAGAACAATTGAATAATTAATTTAATTCAATGCACAAAAAAAATACTATTTTTCTTAGTTTCTAAATTTTTATGAAAATAACCTTAAATTTGATAGAGATTTTAAATTGAGATATTACTTGTAAGAAAAATTTATATTAAAATGTTAACATATACATACATTATAACTACTACATAATTCAATTAAACTAATATTGAAAGATAACCTTAAATGAAAGTGAACTTTATTAAGGCATTCAAATAAATATTTAATTTATTTAAATATTAGGTTATAAAGATTTTTTTTGAAAGGAACTTATGTTTAAGCTATGAAATCATTAAATTTTAAGGCATTTAAAAAATTAGAATGCTTATTTCATGCAGGATGCATTGATTTATCGAAATTTTTATGAAATGTTAAAATTTAATTTTTTTATTTAAAGTTAAATTTCTTCATAGAAAATTCAATCTTTGAGTTACGATAATATAATGACTGCTAATACAAATATCTGCTAATTATTCTATCAATCACCCCTAAATTAATATTTTCTGGAATAACCAAAGAGCGATCTTAAAAAAGATTCAAGACAGAAAATTTTAAAAATATTTGTTTATAATTTAGATTGATTGTTATTTTATTGGATAGAAGATGCGACTTTAAAAATTGTAAGAAAAAGTTTTATAAAATTTATTTAAAATTAAAACATTTTAATTTATTTTGAGTTTCTCCATTAATCTTTAATTAGATAAATTTTAAGTAATAAAAATATAAAATTTATTTCAGGTATATGGTAATTTTTGTCATTTTATTCTAATTTCTACATAAATTTAATTTTTCAAAGGATTCACAAATTCTACTTGATTATTGAGAATAAAATTAAGTTCAATTTAATTGAAATAAATACTTAAAAATTTTAATTTGTATATATTATTACTGTTTGGAGTAGGAAAAGTGTTTTTTAGGAATTAAACTTATAATTTAAATTGATGAAAACTAAATTGAATGAGTTAATTAATTAAAATTAATTTTAATATTGATTCTATCAATAAAAAAGTATAAATTTAAGAAAATGATTGTTATATATGCAATTATTAATTGTATATATACATTTGATAATAAACCTTGTCGATGAAAATTTTATAAAAATTTATATAATTTTTCCCTATAAATGTAAAATATCATTCTCATCATAGCATGAGATAACCAAAAAGGATTGTTGATAATCCAAGAATGTATCCTGAATCAGTTGTTGTAGTATTATCAGTGGTGTTTGTATTGTTATTTGAAGTATTTGGTTAAACAACTACTGCAGTGCATACTCCACATTTGCTTGTTGAAGCATTCCATGTATAAGTGTAGCCAGAAACTAAGAAACAATCATTTGATGCTAAAGTAGCTGGATCTGTAGGTGTACATATTCCGTTTGCTAGAGTGCAAATTTATTGAGTTCTTCTATCCCAATTTAAGAATCTAGTGCAAATTCCATTAGTAGATTAGTTTGTAGAACAAGTATGAGCAGCACATCTACTTAAAATAGCATTAGCTCCAGTTCCTGATGCAGGAGTCCATGAGCATCTATCTCTTGCAGCTTAACAAGCAGTTTAATCATTATTAGCAGTTGAACATGCAGTCATTAATGTACAAGTACCAATACCATCAGTTACTCCTGTACCAGTTGACTAAGTGAATACACAAATTCCATCTGATCCACCAGAATTGCAAGCAGTTCTAGTTGTATATGTAGAACAATTGGCTCTAGGAATGCAAATAGTTCCATTAGAAACACAAGATGATAAAGCAACAAAGCATACATTTGTTGATGTGCCATTTTGAATATCAGCACAACTCATTAATCTACATTTGGCTGTATTATTATTAATAGCTGAAGCAGGTTCCCAAAAACAAATACCATCAGATCCAACAGCTGTTGTACAGGCTGTTTATGTAGAATATGATGAACAAGTTCCTCTAGTTAAACAAGTAGTTCCATCTGATGTACATGTTGATAATTATGAGGAACATGTTTAATGATTTGTACCTGTTAAATCAGCACATATTTAATCTCTACAACTATTTGTAGTATTATCCCAACTACACAATCCTGTTGAAGTAATAACTCCAGCTGTATGAATAACTCCTTTATCATTAAAGAAACAGCCTGCTACTGAAGGATATGATGAACAAGCACCTAATGGAATACATCCAGTTGTACCATTAGTTGTGCATCTTCTATTAGCAATTTAACAATCTTGATGAGTTGCATAGAAAGCATCTGCACAAGAAGTAAATGGTTTACAAACCCTTGGAGCAGATGAATTTAAAGCTGGAACTGATTAAATACAAGCTCCATCATATCCTGTCACACATCCACCATCAGTATTTGTTTCAGAACATAAAGTAATTGCAATACAACTAGATCCATTTGTTGTACATTAATTACTTATCCATTTGCATTCAGCATCTGTACTCCAAGTTAAACTTTTGCATGATGTGTATCTGAAGCAAGCTCCAGTAGATCCATCACTATTAATATAATCATTAACCCAAAGACATGGTCCATTTGTACCTTAAATACAAGCACTTCTAATTGTAGTTTATTCACAATTTTAAACTCTAGCACATCTTCCATTAGCACCAGCAGTACATCCAGCTCTTTAGGCTTAACATGCAGCATGAGTTGTACCACTAAAATCTTAACAATCTCTATCTCTACATCTATTCTATGCACTATCCCAAGCACAAACTGTTGTACCATTAAGAGCAGTTGTACAAGCAGCTTCAATAGTAGCAGCTGAACAAGTTGATTTAAGAATACATCCACCACCATTCTTTGTTGTGCAATTAGTAAAATAAGTGGCACAGGCTGCTTCTGTTGTCAAAGATGTTGGAGCTGTATTACATGTTTTGATTGTACAATAAGCTTAATTATTACCTACAGCTGGCATCCATTCACATTATTAATTTGTTGAAGAAGTTACACATCCAGCTTAACTTTGTGCTGAAATGCAAGTTCCTCTAGTAACACAATTTGTTCCATTTGTTGTACATGTAGGTAGTGCTTATCTACATAATGTATCTGTGGCAAATGCAAAATCTTCACAAACCCTTGTCTTGCATTTTACAGTATCTGAAGTGCATCCATATAAATATGTATTACATTCTTCAGGAGTTTAAATAGCATCTGGTGCATTTTCACAAGATCTTGTAATACAAGTTGATCCTGTCCAAAAGCATGGCTTACCACTTCTATCAGAAACACATTATTTTTCTGTCATACCTTCGCAAGAGATTGGTATTTCAATACATCCTTATCCAGATTCTGAGACTGTGCATTTATTGTTAAAATAAGTTCTGCATTCATCATTATCATCATAATCAATAGTTGCAGGTGCTGTAGCACATGATTTATCAGCACATAAACTTCCATTCCATCCACATTCTTCTCCTGTTGCATTAAATTTACATTATTCTTAATGAACATATGAAGAACAAGCTGCTCTTTATTAGCAACCTCCTAAAACTAGAGTATTACTGTTAGTATCTAAAGTTGCAACTACTGTACATCTTATAGTAGGAGTTGAAAAATATGAATCACATTCACTATGAGTTGCCATTGAAGTTGGAGCAGTTGTACATGATCTATCTTAACATACTGCTTAATTTGTATTAGTATTCCAAACACATAGTCCTCCACTAGCATTAGCAACACATTAATCTTCTATCAAATAACTACCACAAGCTCCTCTAGTCATACAACCTGGAACAGCAGCTCCATTCTAAGCTCTAACTGTACAAGTGGCATCAACTCCAGAACATGCACTGTGAGTAGCATATGAAGATGTTGCTTCAATATTTCCACAATTTAAATCGACACAATTTTTATTTGTTGGATTCCAGAAGCATCTTCCACCACTGGTATTAAATTTACATTATTGGTTGGATCTATATGTTGAACAAGCAGCTCTTGCCTAACAACCTCCAATTCTTGCAACTGTACATGTAGATAGATAATCTGAGCATTAAGTATTTGTGTTTAAAGTATCTGCTGCTGTATCACAAGTTTTTCTTACACAATTTGTACCATCCACAATACATTGCCCTTCAAGTGACCAAAGGCATGAAGCTGAAGTTTGACTTCCACATGAAGCAGGCATTATTATACAATTATCGTTTGTAGCATTTACAGTACAAGTATTAAGGTGTCCATTGCAATTTTAATGGTTAAATACACCTGAAAAATTATTACATGTTCTTGTTTAACATCCTGTAGTATTCAGCTCAATGCAACCAGCTTTAAAGTGAGCACACCTTCCACTACTATAATTACCAGATCCTAAAAATAAATTTTCGCAAGTTGTTGTTTATGTTACACCTACACATTGATTATCTGAGTTATTAGCAACACAAAGCCCAGCAGTTGATCTATAACAATTACTAATTGTCAACGAATACTATGAACATTATGCCTGTATTGTAATACATCCTGATCCATCTCTTTTTACACTACAGGTTGAGCTGAAGCTTTAACAGTTTTCCCAAGTAAGGCCTGAGCCTGTTTTTACTTCACAAGAAAATGCTTAACATGCTGTCGTTCCATTATTAGTACAAGCAGTATTATATGCCTTACATTAATCATGATCTAAGCCAGTTCCAGTAACAGTAGCACAGTCCGCAGCAGTGGCAATTGCCAAGCAAGCGTCAGGATTTCCTCCATCAGCAGCCTTAAAGAAACATTTAGTTCCTGTACTTGTATTAACACATGCATCAGCAGTTGCTGCATAACTACCACAAGCTGTTTATAGTTATTAACATGCAGTTGTTCCATTATTAGTACAAGCAGTATTATAAACTTAACATTTTGTATGATCTAAGCCAGTTCCAGTAACAGTAGCACAATCTGTAGCAATAGCAATTGCCTGACAAGCGGCAGGATTTCCTCCATCAGCAGCTTTAAAGAAACATTTAGTTCCTGTACTTGTATTAACACATGCATCAGCAGTTGCTGCATAACTACCACAAGCTGTTTATAGTTATTAACATGCAGTTGTTCCATTATTAGTACAAGCAGTATTATAAACTTAACATTTTGTATGATCTAAGCCAGTTCCAGTAACAGCAGCACAATCTGTAGCAATAGCAATTGCCTGACAAGCGGCAGGATTTCCTCCATCAGCAGCTTTAAAGAAACATTTAGTTGCTGTAGTTGTATTAATTACACATTCATCAGCAGTTGCTGCATAACTTCCACAAGATGCTTATAGTTATTAACATGCAGTTGTCCCATTATTAGTACAAGCAGTATTATAAGCTTAACATTTTGTATGATCTAAGCCAGTTCCAGCAACAGTAGCACAGTCTGCAGCAGCAGAAATCGCCAGACAAGCGTCAGGATTTCCTCCTGCAGCAGATCTAAAGAAACATTTAGTTCCTGTACTTGTATTAACACATGCATCAGCAGTTGCTGCATAACTTCCACAAGATGCTTATAGTTACTAACATGCAGTTGTTCCATTATTAGTACAAGCAGTATTATAAGCTTAACATTAAGCATGATCTAAACCAGATCCGGCAACAGCCGCACAAGAAAATGTACATATATCTGTCTCAACTGCACTCGGAGAATTAGTGCATCCAGAGCCGGGGTTATATGATTAGCATTATGCTTATGTTCCTCTAAAAGTTGAACAAGCACCTTAGAGCTATGTATTAGAAAAACATCTGTTAACGGTTGAATTCCATGAACAATCATTTGAAGTAGCTCCTAAAGTTCTAAAACACTATGCTGATGATACATAATCACTGCAATTTGCTGATCTTGTCACACATCCTTATCCTCCAGTTTTATATAAAACAGTGCATGTTTCACTTGGTGTTGGATATGCTGAGCATTCACTATCATCATCAAATGAAGTAGTATTTGAAGCATCTGAGCAAATGGCACTTCTACATCCCGATCCAGTCCATATACAATTTTTGTTAGCTGATGTTATTTTGCAATTTTCGGGGGAAGTATAAGATGTACAAGAAGCCTATAAAACTTAACAAGCTAATCTGGCATTGTTTGTGGTGCATGTACTCAAAGCATTTTAACATGCTGAATGAGTAGTTAACGGAATATTAGTACAAACTCTATCAACACAACTATTTGAATTAGAATTCCAATAACAATCTCCATTAATTTTTGACCCTATTCCACAATTATTTGAAGCTAATAAATTACAAGATGATGATTTTGCAATGCAACCACTTCCTGTATTATTGGCAATACAAGTATCTAAATAGGTTGAACAGTTTCCAGTACTAAAAACTGTAACAAATCCTACTGTTGTTGAAATACTAGCAGTAGCGCAAGATTTTTCAACACAAGCAGAGGTAGCAGTATTCCAAAGACATGTTGGAAAACCAGATCTTGAAATTTAACAATTTTCAATTGATCTTCTTTAAGCACAACTTGTGGGTAAATCCTAACATCCTTAAATGATTGGTGATCCACTTACAATAACTGGATTGTTGGCAACACAAGTATCGATATAATTTCGGCATTCACTTGTTGTTGAATAGTTTCTGGGAGCTGTAGAACAAGCCATGTCTATACATTATGAACCATTCCAACCGCATTATGGATATGTTCTATTTCCATTTATAATTTATAATTTAACATGACATGCAGCTTCAATTGTAATAGCTTCACATCTGAGAGGAATTGGAACGCATCCTTATCCTGTATTACTCAAAGTACAACTTGGATCATATATGTTACAATCTGAATGAGTTGATGTGGTTTATGAAGCTAAGACGCATTCTCTTTTAAAACATCGACCCTTCCAAACACATGTTCTGTTATTTAAATCTCTATCACAAATAATTTATGCCAAAGAATTTTCACAAGTTTTATCTACACATCCTGAATTAGTTGAATTTACTGTGCAAGTTGATAAAAATGCAACACATAAATCATGATTATTATTAGAAGATGGAGCATTAACGCAAGTTTTATCTTTACAACTTTAACTTACTGAATCCCAAAAACATGCGGCACCAGAAGAGTTCCTAACACATGCAGCTTCTAATTAAATTAAAGCACATGTTGTATTTTCCACGCATCCTCCTTGAGATTTTGTTATACAAAGTCTTCCAGGTAAATATGCTTCACAAGCTTCGTTTGTTGTTAGTGATGTTGGGGCATTTGCACAAGTTCTATTTTGGCATCCACCTCCTGCTCTCACAGTACAAGTTGATAAATAAGATGTACATAATTCATGAGTATTGTTAGTAATTGGGGCATTAGTACAAGTCTTTTCTTTGCATATTCCATCCCAAATACAATCAAAATTATTTGAATTTTTAACACATGCTGCTTATATGTTAGCAACTGAACAAGCTCCATTTGTTATACATCCTCCTCCTGATTTAGTAATACATCCTGATCCTGGTGCGAATCCTCCACAAGCAATATTAGTTGTCATTGTAGTTGGTGCATTAGCACATGTCTTATCAACACAACCATTTCCATTCCAGAAGCAATCACCACCTGAACTATTCCTAATACAGGCAGCTTAAATTGCAGCAGCACAAGTTGTTCTTGTCACACATCCTCCATTAACCTTAGTAGTGCATGTACCATCTGTTCTGAATGCTCTGCATGCTTCGTCAGTTGTTAATGTTGTTGGTGCATGCTCACAAATTCTGTCTTTGCATGCATTACCATCCCAATAACATGTCATTGTTCTTAATCTATTTGAAACACATTGAATTTCTAATCTTTAATCACTACAATTGGTTCCACTATCTACACATCCACCTCCAGCTTAAGTTGTGCATGTAGGAATTATATCTCTGCACTCCTTGTCAGTTACAAAACTTATTGGTAGTCTTTCACATGTATTGGCATCTAAACAAGAATTATTTGTTGTATCCCAAAAGCATAAACTTCCTTAGGCATTTTTTAGACAAGGAAGCTATTTTTTGTAAGTACTACAAGCATCAATTTCAACACAATGAGTTCCATCTGTGATGCATTTATTACTAATTGCTTAACATTCTCCATCTGTTGTCTTTGCAAATGCTGTACATCCGGTAAAGAAAGTGCACTTGTCATCGATCCAAGCACATGCGGCAAAACTTCCACAATCAGTACAAGGTTTAGCTTTTGGGCAATCAGATTAAGTAAATCCATCGCAATATGCTGCAAAAATCACTGTTGGAGTGACAGGAGTTGTTGATACAGCACATAACCTTTTAGTACTATCCCAAGAACATCCGAGGGTAGGATTTCTAGCGCAATCTCCTTCTGATAACAATTATGCACATGAACATTGTGCTATGCTGTATGTTTAACTCATTGCTAAAGCAAGCAATAATGAAAGTATGATGAATTTTTTATTCATAGAAAGTATTATTTATTTACTAATCTAAAATTCCAGTTTTATATATCAATATAAATTAATTTATTTTTTTATGCACTAATACGTCAAATTACATTATTCAAATTAAAATCAGAATTAAATCTTTAATTGAAAAGACATTATTAATTTTTTTTTTATTTGCAATTTTAATGTGTTGGATTTTGAAAAGACCAAAAGGGACCTGCTACAATTGCAAATAGAGTTTCCTTCAGTCTAGGATGACAATTTGTATTAAACTTATAGCTTTTTTGATTATAATTCTGTAATTTTATCACCATCCTAATCTAGAATTTTCGGCAACCTAATTCGCTCACTTAAAAACTCTTGTTATTTGGAATTAATTTCTCTCTTAATTGCTGTACTCAATCAATTTTATTGAAAATTAGAAAGAGTAAGGGAAAAAAAAGATTAAACTAAAAAAAATATATAAATAAATAAAGATCAGAAAAAAATATTGAAAACACAGTTAATAAGCTTAAATTATTACACTCAATAAGCAGTTGGTAGCTTTCTTAAATAAAATGATATATTACAAAAGATTTTGTAAAGTAATTTTACATCACTATTTTTAGTGAAAAGGCACAATTTAAAATTATCAATTCAAACTTTAGGAAAATATCCATAAAATTCTTCCAAGAATATTCGATAATTGAATTATATCGACTTCTTTCACTTAATTTTATTTGAGTCTTAGGAGTAGCAAATAAATCTTAATTCGTCCTAGTTTATAACTTAATCAGTATTTTCTTTCTCTAAAGAAATTTACATTGTTTTTTAAAAACTATTGTTCAAAATTTAAGAATATTGTGTAGCGAAATAAATATTCAAAAATAACTTGAATCATTTTAAAAAATTCTATCCATTTTTAAATAACAAATAAAATAATCAATTCTCTTCATTAATTGATATTTATATTATATTTAATAATTTATCAATCTCGAGTAAAAAGTTCTGATATTCTTAAACCTATTTTACTTAAAGGAAATAAAAGAGTTGTTTGTGATATCACTAGATATCCAAAAGTGCTAATCTTGCGAAAAATAAAATTTAACTCATAACTAAAAAAAAAGGGATAATTGTTCCATTATTTTAAATAAATGAGAATATAAAATATCACTGTTTATAATAAAAACAAAAGGATTGATCCTTAGCTACTGCTCAGCTGATATAATTAATTTTTTTTAAATATTTGAAAACTAGATTAAACAATGCATAAAAAAAATATCCAAAAAACCTTAATAGGCATTTATATTCGTTAATTTAGATAAGTCTATCCGTTTTTTTTGAAAATTCATTTGTTTGTCCTTAATAAATTTTTCAAATAATGCGGCCATTTACTTATTCTTAGAAGAAATTATTTTAAAGATTTTGTTCATAATTAGACCAAATTTTCAGTTTTAAAAATTAATCCACCTTTGTCTTTTTAATTTTAATATATTTTTTTAATAGATTCAAGAATCCATTTATCCTAATCAAATTAAATATGAGTAAAAAATTTTAGTAAAGCCAGATTTTTTCTAGTTAGAATGTTTTTTTGATCTGTTTGATTGATTTAATTTGAATTTAACGACCCATCATTTAATTATAATAAAATTATATTATTTACGAGAGTATCTTGAAAACATTAAAACTTCGTGTCAAATCCCTTAATTTGAAATTGGTAACTTTATGAATCCTTTTCTTACTTACTATATATTAATTATTCACCTATTATTTCTATTTAGTCAGTGAAATTGACTTAAGTCGAATTCATGTAAAATCTAGGAGAACATGAGTCAAAATGTAATGGATAAATATAGGAAGCATAATTTTTAGATGTGTGTTTTTAGAATACTCTAAAAATATTTAACGCTCAAATAAACAAAAAAACTGTTTAAAAATAATTATCATTGTAAAAGATGAATTGAAATAAATATAGAAATAAATAAACAAAAAATAAATTTTTTAATGAATAAATTTTTATTGAAAATAAAAGTTAAATGTTAAAATATATATTTGCTTCTAAATTTGAACAAAATGATAAATAGAGTTGAATTTTTTATTATTAAAATAAGTTTTGACCTTNCTAATCTTGCGAAAAATAAAATTTAACTCATAACTAAAAAAAAAGGGATAATTGTTCCATTATTTTAAATAAATGAGAATATAAAATATCACTGTTTATAATAAAAACAAAAGGATTGATCCTTAGCTACTGCTCAGCTGATATAATTAATTTTTTTTAAATATTTGAAAACTAGATTAAACAATGCATAAAAAAAATATCCAAAAAACCTTAATAGGCATTTATATTCGTTAATTTAGATAAGTCTATCCGTTTTTTTTGAAAATTCATTTGTTTGTCCTTAATAAATTTTTCAAATAATGCGGCCATTTACTTATTCTTAGAAGAAATTATTTTAAAGATTTTGTTCATAATTAGACCAAATTTTCAGTTTTAAAAATTAATCCACCTTTGTCTTTTTAATTTTAATATATTTTTTTAATAGATTCAAGAATCCATTTATCCTAATCAAATTAAATATGAGTAAAAAATTTTAGTAAAGCCAGATTTTTTCTAGTTAGAATGTTTTTTTGATCTGTTTGATTGATTTAATTTGAATTTAACGACCCATCATTTAATTATAATAAAATTATATTATTTACGAGAGTATCTTGAAAACATTAAAACTTCGTGTCAAATCCCTTAATTTGAAATTGGTAACTTTATGAATCCTTTTCTTACTTACTATATATTAATTATTCACCTATTATTTCTATTTAGTCAGTGAAATTGACTTAAGTCGAATTCATGTAAAATCTAGGAGAACATGAGTCAAAATGTAATGGATAAATATAGGAAGCATAATTTTTAGATGTGTGTTTTTAGAATACTCTAAAAATATTTAACGCTCAAATAAACAAAAAAACTGTTTAAAAATAATTATCATTGTAAAAGATGAATTGAAATAAATATAGAAATAAATAAACAAAAAATAAATTTTTTAATGAATAAATTTTTATTGAAAATAAAAGTTAAATGTTAAAATATATATTTGCTTCTAAATTTGAACAAAATGATAAATAGAGTTGAATTTTTTATAAATATAATAAATATATATTACAAAAATTGTACTATTGCTGCACAAACTATTTTCAAATTATTATTATGATTAGACAATGATGGATTACAAATAAGCTTTATTTGTTTCTTAAGGGATGTGAAAATCATTCAAAGCCTTATCAAAATGCTTTAATATTTTGTCTTTTAATTATATGGGTAAATCAATTAAAACAGAATTTATAAAATCAATCTTTGAATTAAAAAAAAAAGTAATTAAAAACTATTTTAGAAGCGTAAATTTATAGAAAGTTACAATTAAGGAGACTATGGATAAGATTCAAAATAATTAATAAGTTAATAAGGATAGTAAGCAGATTGGCAAAGTAAAATTCATAAAGTTTGAAATTTTAATAAAGCAGACATATTAATTTTTTATTTAGCGTAATTATAAATGAGAAGAGTAATCAATTTATAAAAATATTTTGCCAGATCACCATTTCAATTGCATAAATAAAATTTATTATTTTTAAAATATAATAGTTTATTAAATAAAAATTAAAGGGACTAATAAAGAAATTTATTTATTTAAGTACTTATCTCCAATTGCTTAATATAAATAACAAGTAGGAATGAATTTTGCTTAATCTGTAAATTCTCCAATGCATTGAAATTTCTCTAATCTTTATCTTATTTAAATTACAATAATATCAATGATAATTGAAGTATTTCCCTCTTCCCAAATTTGATATATATTATCTTCATCTAAAATTTTAGGATTATAAATTAAATTTATTAAAAAATGTAATTATTCAACTGAGCCTTCAACTTATTTAATTAAATTTATTGCTAGTTAATTAAAAGATTACAAATTATTTTCTTCTGATTATTATGTTTCTTAAATCGAAAATGTATAATCTCCTGCATAATAATGCATCAATTATTATGTTAATTCAATATCAACACTAGGTTTAATCATTTATTTTATTGATATTTTCCAATCTTCTTCTTTAATGAATGCCTATTCATTCTCTGAAAATTTCTGCAATTTTATTATTAAATTATATAACTCAGGATTTTATTGTTATAAATCTTATCCTAATAAATTTAAATCTTTTTATGGATTTTAATTATAAGATTAAAATTCTTAATCTCCCAAAATATCTTTCCAAAATTTTTAAAGTATATTGTTTGTTTAATTCAATGAAAATTAAAAATCACTTTAAATACAAACCTATACTATAATTAAACTATTTCTAAGGATTTAATTCTGTACGATTAAAAAATATGACACTTAAACTTGGATAAATAACAAAATTAGAATGTTAAGATTCTAAATTTTGATTTTCATAATCTTCTGTTCCGAACATGCCTAAATAAAGTAACTTAACTATTCCTTCAAAATTAAAATTAAAAAATTATTCCTAATTATAAAAATATAAATATCTTTCATAAATTATTATAGCAATTGATATTAACTCTTTTTTATTAAGAGATTCTTCTTCTCTCATATTTTTGCATTATTTGATTTATTTTATTTATTTTAAAATAATTATGAAAATTAATGATGAAAATGGGAAATGCTTTTAAAATTTACCTTTAGCTAGAGAAGACAATAACTTTTTTATATGTTCTCAAAAACTTCTTTTTCTATAGTTTTTTGTATTCCTCAAATCTTTCACTTTCATTTTCTATTTAGATTTTTAAACTCTTCTCTAAATACTTTCTCACTTTGCTTAAATTATTTTCCAAATAATGTGAATTTTAAATTGTCTCATATTCAATAATTGATAATATTGTTTCTAATTTTAGTGATGAGATATTTTTAAAGAAATCTATAATTATGAAATTTCCACTTATTGATTTTTCAGATACTTTTTAAATATAATTAACAAATTGGCTATTATCACAATTTTCGTAAAATATTGCATTTATTAATATTTAATCTAATCCTAGTGCTAATTATAACATTTAAAAGGCTTCTCATAAATCTTAATTGCTTTTTTGTGCTATATAAAAAAGGGATTCTTCAATACTTTTTTCAGAAAAATACTCAATTTAATTTGATCTATGGAAAATACAATCAAAAGACTTTTCTTTGTATCTGTTATATTTATCATATTTTACAATACCTAAAATTCCAGAGAATAATAAAGAGGTAGAGTCAAACTTTCCAAAAATCTTATTAATATCAAATAAGAAGATGAAATTTAGTAGCCTTGGATAAGAAAAATAGTTTAATACTTCTAAAATATTAGTATCACATTTTGTATCTCTTTCTATATATAATATTTTTCTTTATTATACTAATTAATTGTATTAGTCTTAAAAATTATCCCATGATTCAATATATCTTTTTTACATTTTAAAAGCAAAAACCATTTTGAAAAATTATGAATCAATTGATTTAAGTCTTAATTTTTCAATTAACATTTCTGGATCTACAGAATTATAATCAAGAATATTGGCTATATCTGTTACAACCTTAAAATCTTAAATTTAAAACTTTTTTTGCAGAATTTGTTAAATTTCCATTTCTTCCAAAAATATTGGTTTTTTATTGGAAAACATGTAATTAACCAAAAATGAGGCAAGCTTTAGTTCTTATCTATTCAAATAATAAATTGAATTTAATAGATCATAGTCTTATTATGGTGAAAAAATAGCTTCAGTTTAAATAAATCCTTCAACTAATAATGATGCTTAATTAACTAAATTTTTCATAGTTTCTATTTTTAAAATTTTAGATGCAAAATCTTTAGGTTTTAAAATAAAATACAACATTATAATTTTTGTCAACAATTTCTATTATAATTGATTTAAAAAGTTATAAATCTTGTTGAGAAATACCAAGTTCAAAATTTGATAATGATTTTTCAATAGCTTAATTTCTTATATTTTTATCTTCAGAAAATAATTAATCAACAACAGGTTCAGCAAAAGGTATAAAATTCTCCAATAATGGTTTTGAATTTCATTTATTTTAAATATTGATCTTTTATTTATTGAAATTTATTCATTTATAATAAATTCTGGTAATTCATACTTAAAAATACGCAAAATATCTTTATAAAAATTAAAATCTAATCCTTATGTTGTTAAAAATATTTGATCAATATATAAAGTCGTAAGCCTATTTAATTGATAAGGAATTATCTATTGAAGTTTAAGGGTTGCAGTAGAAATAGTTTTTTCAATCTAACTTATTTAAGCTATATTTTATATAATTTTATCCATCTGAAAATTTTTTTCATTTGATTAATTTTTTTACATAAAAAAATCTATCGCTTTCTACATTTTTTCTAGATCTTAGAATTGTAAAATATAACTAAGATTTTGAATGCCTTTAGCAAATGCATTTTTTGGTTCTTCAGAGTCTAAATCTTACAATCGCAATATACAATCTTGTTTTATCAAAATTTCAAATAGGTGATTTGATATATTAACTTCTTTCTTAATAATATAAAAAAATTGTTATTTTTGTCTTTCGAAATAATGAATTGTAGAAAGTTATAAAAAGTTAGCTTAGAAGAGTTATAGAGATTTAAATCTTCTCCATAAATGGTTTAATTAATTTCATTTAAATTATTATTATTCTACTTTGTTTTATCAAATGAATATCCAAATTATTGAGAATAGTTTTCATATTCTTGAATATTTTCATTTTAATAGTATTCATTAAAATTTGTTGATTACTAAGAACTGGCTTTAACCCATCTGAAAAACTCCCTTTTTCTGAAACTTTATTTTTTTGTTATTCCCAGAGTAAAATAGTCTTGTAAATAAAACATCCATTAAATAACTTAAAAATAGCTATATCTTCTGACTTTATAACCATTTTAATAAATTCTTTAATTAGTAGTTTAGATAAAGGTAATTCTTTATTTTCTAATAAGTAAGGAAATATATCTTCGAAATTAGTTATTGAAAGAAGTTCTCTAACAAATTTAGTTATTTTCATTTATTCTGCAACGTTAGTAGCATTTGATTAAGAAATTTAGTTACTCATTTATGAAATTTCAATATAAGCCTATTGTAAATATGGAGATTGATTTTTTATTTCATTTTTCAAAATTAAAATAAGTCCAATAACAGCAACTTCAGAAAAATTTAAAGCTTATGAAATAAATTTGATAATGTTTCGATTTGTTAAATTTTCCTCTCTTTTATTAATTTAATAAATTGTGTTCAAAAAATTTGGAAGACCATAAAAACTGACTTCCCATATACAAAATATCATAAAATAATACTAAATTATAATCGTCTAAATTGATTTTTAGCTCTTTTTCGAATTTTTAGTACAAAAGGAAATATAAGATATGCTAATCTCTAATAAAGATTTTAAAGAAGGTTTTATTAATATATTGGTGTTTTATTAGCCATTTGTTAATGAAGGAAAATCATTTCTAAGATAGTTGATTATCAAATTTAATTTAAATAATTGAGATATATTTGATTTAAGGAATTAATCATCCTAAAGCTCTTAAATTATTTTACATAGAAAATCAGAAAATGAACTACATTAATTTTAACTTATTAATTCTTAAGGGATTATTAAATATTATTGATTATTAAATAGAAATTATTATAGGTAATTTATTTTTGGATCAATATTACAAAGTGTAAAAAGTTTGAATGAGTACAACTTTTTTATTTCTTCAAAATTGCTACATTTATCACTTTTTACATTATGAAGATTCAAAAAAATTTCTAAGACATTTTTTGAATAATTTAATTATTAATTATCTGCCTGATTTTTCTTTTGAGTTTGTAAAATTTTTGTAAATGAAGATAGAATATTAATTTTTGATTAGTTAATTAATAATTATTAGAGTAGATACGTGATATTTAAATCTTTTTCATCTAATTTTTCTTTAGTTATAACTATTTATATAAATATTTCAATTAATTATTAATTGATTTATTTAAAAAATTATAAGAAAGTGTTTTTTCCTGATTTAGATTTAATTTAAAATGATATATTTTAAAATTAATTTAATGTTTAATAGAACCATTTTAAAATAGGATAAGGAATAGTAGTTTTTAATTTTATTTCTTTAAGTGGTCCTTAAAAGGCTTCATCAAAACTTGTATTAAAATATGATTTTAGTAAGAGTTTAGCTAAATTTTCTGGAATTTTAAATTCTTCTTTTATTTTATCCAAAAATGTTTCAGATGAAGTTTAAATAAATGTTTCTTTAATTTTTGATAATTTTAATTAATTTTAAACTAAATCCAGAGGTTCTGAATTTTCAGTCATTTAATTTGTCATATTACAATTTCTCAGCAAATTTTTTAGCTTCTCTCATACATAGAAGTATCTTATAGTTGTAATAATTATTTAATAATTGGACGTATTAATAATGAAAAAGTGGATTAAATATTTTAAATATGATTTCTTCACAAATCATTTCATAAGTTTGTTTAATTTAATTTAATTTAATTTAATTATGCAGTTATAAAAGCAACTAAAGATAAAGCTGATGAAGAATAAACAAGATAAAAATTTGGATTAATAATTGATCCCAATAATAACCAAACAATTATTAAACCAAAATAGAAAAATACACAAAATGCTAGTAATAAAAAGATATACCATTAATATAATATAATAAAGAATGATCCTTTTTTCATTCTTTACTATTCCATCATATAACTGATTTCATCTGGATACTATTTATCCCAATATTGTAATATTTAATAAATTACAACTAATATTGTATAACATATTAAAACTATAAAAAATGCATAAGCCCAAGTATCTGCAGGAATACCTGTTAAAAAGCATTAAGTTTATAAAAATATTTCAAGAGAATTTTTACTTAATTTATCTTCTTAATTTAATTGTTAATAAGATTTTGCTTCAGGGTTTAATTTAATTTTAGATAAACCTTATATATTTTATTTTTCAGCAAGTTCAAAACCATAAAATGAAAAACAATATTCTACCTATGTCAAAGATTCAATTGTCAATTGATTTAAATAACAGAATTACTCATATTTTTCTTTAACTTCTTCTTAATCCATACTTAAATAAATATCATCTAATTCATTTGCATAATATAATTCAGTTTCCTCTTGATTACTCCATCTAAATAGTGTTTTAATAAAAGGAGTTATGGATGAATTAAATTAATTTTATGCAAATAAATAAAATATATATGTGAAGATTGACATAATTGAAGGTGAATCTCTATTATCAGGTTATTATTATAATTTATTTATTATATCTTTTACAATATTAACAGTTTTATTTGGTATATCACCTGTAGTTGTAGCACTATAATGATGATATTATGAACATTAATTTAAAACATAAACTTCTAATCCTTTCAATATTTCTATTAGTATATATATACATATAACAGAAAATATTAAAGAAGATATTAATGATAATATCATAGCTGCTATAAAATTATTATCATATTTTAAGTATTCATAAATTACAGTATTTGCTATTTCATTTAATATTAACCAATTTTCAAATTTACCTTTTTCTTTATATTATAAATAAGTTAAACCAAAATAATTGTTGATTATTTTATTAAATTTTATATTTAAATTTTTTATTTTGAAGTTAAAACAGGATTCCATGGACAAAAACCTGGTTTAATAGAAACAGATAGATATGAAAGAGTTGGATTCAAAAATCCACTGAAAATGCTGATAATCACCATGGTTAAAAATTTGCATTAGAAGGATTACTAAAAATTGACCAATAAGTAGTATATGAATGTTATAATAAATAACTTCCTATAACATATATTCTAACAGCAATATCAGCAGATCCACTAGTATTCATAAATTATTAAATTTTAATTAGTGAATCATCATCAAAGTCAATTTATTATTTAAATACTTAAGTAGAAAATATTTAAATATCATCATTTTCTATTATGAAAGGTTTTCCAATATCAAAAAATATATTAGCATAAATAGTAGTTTGATTTCCTGTTACTTAAAACTTTTATTAAATATCACAAGAATTCTTTTCACATATAGAAATTTAGCCTTTACATATTTTGTTAAGAATTGTATTATTTTATGATTCTTAAATATAACAATTTTCTTAAATTTAATCAATTAATTAAAATCCTTTTACACAGACAACATGGGATTAAGAAAAATAATTTAATTAAAATGATTTTGTTGATTAAATAATTAATTCTCCATTAGACATAGCTATATAACCCTCATTTGTTATAATATGATTGATAAAAAGAGTTCCAGAAGAATCTGATAAAAATGTAAATTTATTAGTTTGAATATTTCTTATATTCATTTACATTCTTGCACTTTTTTCACATGTTACATTGAAATGATCTTATACATATAATTCTTATTAAGCAAATACAATAATGCACTCTGGGTCAATAGAACATAAAATATTTAAGTTGTTCATATTCTTTGATACATTAAATCAACTATACAAGATAGTACCTAAAATAAAATAATTTTATAAAATTACATTAGGATAAGGATTTTAAATATATAAATTTGCTATTCCTTAATCAATTATTTCTCCTTTAATTATAAATTCTTTTGAATTACTACTCTATTATTCTAAACTTCCTTTACAATAAACTTTAAACTTAAATATAAAATGAATAATAATACTTTTAGATAATCTTAAGACTCACTTATATTTAAATAACAATTTCCTGTATAAATTATTAAATAATTCACTTCTACTTTAGTATCTCATTAATAATCTTTTACAGTTGTAAAATATCTCCATAAAAAAACCCAATAATAAGCCAAACTAAACCAAATTAAAGGCAAAGTCGACTCCATCTTCTAATAAAAATCATACCATCATAAATACTAAATATTTATATAATAATTACTTCTCTAAATCCATCATGTTTTCTAATTATCGATTATCATCTTCTCTTCTTTCTAAATTTTATCTCCACTTTATTATTTCCTCTTCATTTACTTTCATATCTTCATCTGCTTTCTAAAATTTAGATTTTTATATTTATATACCATTTATTCTTCATCTGCATCGAAATAATCATGTTATAATACTCTTGTATCTGACAGATTTTTATTTATAATGTTCAAGCAAGTATATTTTCATTACACCATATAAACAAACATAAAAGTTTTAACTAATTAAAATCATTGCTAATACAATTATTGAAGTATAAAATTATCAATTAGAAATTTGGTTTTTTTGAATTTCCAAGCATCAGGATATTAACAAACTCTAATGATTTTATTTATAGTATATTTTGGATAATTAGGTCTTCTTAAAATGATTGATCTTTCTAGGTTTTTATATTTAAAATATATGTGTCTTTTTTCAAATACATTATTCTAATTAATAAATTTTATGGCTTTTGAGTATTTGCTTAACATTTTGAATACATTTTCTTTATAGATATTATAGATAGTGTCTGGATTTTTTATAAACTTGGATAAATCTTTGAGCTAAATACAAAAACTATAGATTTAATTAGGAGAAGAAATAGAAGTAAGTAATTTAGGAAATTTTGAAAATGATATCAAATAATAAAGAAAATAAATAAAAAAGAATAAACAATCAAAGATCATTAATCACTTAAAGAATATAATGAAAATTAAATTAGGGAAGATAAATTTATTATATTGTTATAATTATCAAATTGATAATTTTGGAAAGTCAAATATAAATTATATTGACGTCTAAAGAATCTGTTTTGCTTTATTGAAAATTGCTTTTTAAGAATGTTAAAGTATTTCCAAATTTAAGTAAATTAAAACTCAAACAATCTACAGAATTAAATACAAAATATAAAGATATAAGGAGAAGGATAATCATGTTATTTCTATTCTCCATAAATTAGATGCAATGTAATTTTATCAAACTCTCGTTTTCATCTTCTTCTCTTAATTCAATCTAAAGAATGCCAGTTAGAATAATTAACTTTTTTTTTGAATCAGAGGAGAAATATTTGATACCATTAGTGAAAATTGAGATTAAATACAATTATTTTATACATCAAAATTAATAAATTATCAAAATAAATAATTATTATCAAGCCAACTTCATCCTCATTCTTTCTAAAACTACTCGATCTTAGTTTTTATCCTAAAAATAGTTTAATGATATTTTACTAAATCCATTTTATCTCTATCTTTATCATCACTTAAATCAAAATAAAATATGCTTTAAAATTAAAATTAATGTTAATATATAATTTATAATTATTTCTAATAAATCTGTTAACACAAGGAATAGACCTATAATTATCTTTTTTTTACTATTATTCCAACATTTCTAAGAAATTCAATTAGTTTTCTTGAGTATCTATTAAATTTTCCATATATAATCCAAGAAAAATTCAATTTCAAATATCATATTATTATATTTGGATATCCTAAACAAAGATTTATTTTAATTATTTTTCCCTTAGACAAAAATTTTTCATTTTAAAGCACTTTAAAATATTTAAAGTAAGTCTATTAAGAAAGAAAATAAAAAAATACTAAAAAATATATATTATAATTAATATAAATTATATATAATTTAAATCATATCACAAAATGCTATATTTTTTATTATGAAGGCATGATTCACTTTACATAAATATTCAATTCATACTTAGGTGATTTATTATTAGAAAAAATAAATATTTAATTATATGACATTTAATAAACACATTAAATTATAAAAATGAA